TTAACTAAATGTAAGAGATGTGTTTTCAAAATAGAATAAATTTATATATGATTGTGGATTGTTATAAGAGCAGAGGAAGACCGAAAAAGAGATGGGTGGACTGTGTGAAAGATGATATTGTAAGAAAGGGAGTAAAGAACGAGATGACTGCGAACAGAGATGAATGGAAGAGAAAACATATAACGCCGACTACAAATAAATGAGTTTCTTCATGTGATGATAACTTAGAAATAATATGTCATAATTTAAATTAATGTCTTACAATGTACAAAGATTATTATATATTAATATGTTTAATAAATATATTACTTATATTATATTCAATAATAATCATATAATAATTAAGAGCCATCTAGACCCAAGTTAAGCCAGCTAGAGCTTGTGTTATGGCTACTAGGTAACTGATACATATACATAGATATTTTCTTTTACTTATATTATATTTAATAATAATCATATATATATAATTAAGAGCCATCTATCATCATATGATAATCCCAATCTAGTGTTATGGGTACTAGATAACTAATATATATACATAGATATTTTTTTTTGTAAATACATACATATTATACATAGAAAACATCCAGACTGATACAAACAATCATACTCATGAATACAAATGTTTGTGCCAAATCAAGCTATATTATATTATACACAAAAGTCTTTCAATCAACACTTTTACGAAAAAATATCCTTATATATTTTTCTTCTATTTATCACACATTCTTATAATTCATCCATTTAACTCATTCTTCATTTTATATATTTAAATTCATCATAAATGCTATTTCTTTTTTTCAAGTGGCTCCACTGAAAATCAGCGCTGTAGTGATACGCTGCAGCGCCAGCTGAGTGGAAGCCTTTTCAGCTCATAGCGAAATATTAGTTTTAAGTTTTCTTTTTTACTCTGTACTATGATGCTGAATACATGATTATTATTATTATTATTATTATTATTATTATTATTAAAAGTTGTAATTATCTATATATGTACAATAAAAGATTGTCATAAAAACACTTGTCCATATTACTGACGGATTCGGTGGTCTAGCGGTTTAGCACGCCGGTTTACTTCCGATGGTTGCGGATTCGATTCCTCGCACGGTGCAAATAATTGTATTCATGAGTATGTTTGTTTGTATCGGTCTTGATGTTTTCTTTGTATATTATGTATGTATTTACTAAAGTATCAAAATATTTATATCAGTTGTCTAGTACCCACAATACAAGCTCTGCTTACCGTGAGACTAGATGGCGCTGTGTTAATTGTCCAGGGTTATCTATATATTTATTTATATTGTTAAATCCAGGCAAAGTCGGGTGGGCTAATATTATTCGACAAAGTTCTCTAATTTTAACACTTATGATACTTTACAACATCGAATTGCGTACCATAAACCTATCGAGTTCTAAAGTTTAACTGAAATGCATCAAGTCTAACTGACCACATTAACTTAACTGCTCAACTTAAACTTAACTCTTCCTGATGTTTTTCCAACATTACTGTGAACGACATCTAACTTAGATGTATAGTACTTGGATACCATATGAGTTTAAAACTTAAAGTGGAGTTGGCAACACTTTATAATGGTCTAGAAAATTGTTTGCAGTTATGATTGATTAATGTTGCCACATTAAGCTCTGAAGATACACTTTACACAACTAAGCAAAAAGTTATATATTGTTTTAAAGTTTTATACTTAATTTGTATGGACTTTGATGAATGAATATTCTAGAAGTTCCTTCTAGTATTGTGAATATAAGTTTGCCACTAATTAAATTTTATAATGTTTTCTTTATGTTATTTTCACATATTTAATTACTTGATGTAGCGGTTCGGCACACCTGCTTACTCCCAATGGTCGCGGGTTCGAATCCTCATAAAAAATCATGGTACAAAATGTTAATGTTCATAAGTATGATAGTTTATATTTTGTTGTTGTTGTTTATATTATGATTTATCTTTCCATCAGTTATAATGTCAAGTCTTATTATATTTAAGTCCTATTCGAGTATTATTATTATTTTATTATTTCTTTTTTAAAATAGAATGATATTTTAATAAATTAAAACACTTTTATTTATAAAAAGTATATTTTCAAATAAAGAATATTAAAAACAGACATAATAATTGGCAGCTTCAAATAATAATGTTTCTTACATAAATGATAATAGAATACAAAATTCATAATTAAGTCACCTTGGTATGACTGAATACAAATAGATTATACAAATAAAGTTTAAAACTAATTAATGTTACATTCACTAATGAAATACTAAATTAACTAAAATATACAGGCCATGAAATATTATTAACATGTAGAATCACACGTCTCTAGAATATTAATGATTAAGTATAAAAATATGAATTAATCTAAAAATAAGAATCATTGTTAATATATTTTTTTTAAGAAATAAAAATAATAATCGCTGTTTCCGTATTGTATGTAACTAAGAAAGACACGGTAGTGTGAATAGTCTTATATCTAAGAATAATTACAATCATATTGCTTAAAGGTTCACTATTAATATACCTTAATAATATTACTGTGTTACAAGCAGGAAGCTTCATCAATATTCGTATAGAAGACACAAGTTTTCATTTAAACTACTGTAATAAAAAATAGGCAATTCAGAAATTCAATTAAGTTCCTTGCCAGTTCTTCTCAATTGAATCTATATACTGAACTGGACGGTAGGGAGAAAAATTTTTTCATTTAAACTACTGTAATAAAAAAATAGGCAATTCAGAAATTCGATTGAGTTCCTTGCCAGTTCGTCTCAATTGAATCTATATACTGAACTGGACGGTAGGGAGAACAATCTTTTTCATTTAAACTACTGTAATAAAAAAAATAGGCAATTCAGAAATTCGATTGAGTCACTTGACAGTTCTTCTCAATTGAATCTATATACTGAACTGGACGGTAGGGAGAAAAATCTTTTTCATTTAAAATACTGTAATAAAAAAATAGGCAATTCAGAAATTCGATTGAGTTCCTTGACAGTTCTTCTCAATTGAATCTATATACTGAACTGGACGGTAGGGAGAAAAATATTAATATAAAAACTTGACGTTCATAATCATCTAAAATGTCTTATATGAATAAATTAATTTTGATTTCATTTGAATATTATTCTTCAGAGTACATTTATAAATCTACGAAGAATAAAAAAAGGTGAAACGGAATAAACTATTAAAATTACAAGAAATTTGTATCAATTTTCACGTGTTTCGTAGTATTTATTAGAGACTAGTTCGTAAAATGCGATTGGAATTAGAAATAATAATAATAGATAAATAAATAATTAGAATTTATATTTATATAAAAAAGTGAATTAGAATTTACTTTTTTTAAAAACTTATTCACTTGCCAAAAGTTTACTGCTTGTGCTAGATTGTTCAATCGAATCAGTCACGGCAACTGATGTAATAAGAATAAAATAAATTAATGAACATCATTTCGTGAATAGAATAGAATAGAAATATTATTTTTATTCTATCAAACATTCAGCATGCAGACTCGTCACAAGAAGAATGAGAAAGAAACTTGCATGTTACTCATTTAAATAAATGTTGTTCAGAGTTACATTTCTAAGAATTTTGTTGTTTAGTTGTCTTTAAAAATGGCAATAGTAATAATTTTTATAGACCAAGGCACAGCTACAATAAGACAAAATTAGAATCATATCGTATCAACAGTTAAAGAGCATGATGGAAGATCGTGGAAAGTAGCAAGAGCTCCACCGACAAGAGCGTGGCCTTTAAATTATGAATGAATGAATAATTTATTACTAAAATAAGATCGAAAACACTCAATACAACAAATAATAACAATAACATTGTGTCTTCTATAACAAATACATATGTAAAGTGTTAATTATGGAAATTTAGAAATCTTTCTCTACATGTTTATAATCTTAAGTGCGTTAAGCATACCAATTTTAATTTATATACAAAACTCTTAAATGCATTATTTTTTATTGTTATTTGCATTTAACTTTGTGCTAACAAATATTTTTGCTACCATCCAAATGTTTAATAATACAAGTAATAATAAAACTAGTATATTGTTATAGATGTGAGAGTTTTATTATGAGTTACATTATTGTCTCTTAATTTTTTGTCTCTATCGCTTACAATTATATGAATTATCTTTTCAAGTGGACAAATGACGTTATAAGTAATCGTGACTATAAACATGACTAATATCCATGATGATTACAATTTAAAGTGTCATGGTGATGATCAAGTCATTAATAGTCTAAGAATTTAAATATCAAAGTAAATACCTGAACCCACTTCAATAAATGAACATGTACCTAGAACATTAGCATGGTATTTTTTTTTATTTTATTCGTTAGCACAAAGTAGCAAAATCCATTCGGCAATTAAGAGTTTCCAAGAGATCATTAGGAAAACTTCTTTTTTTTTATTTAAACCTCATCTTAAATAAATACAATATCACATTTGAACACATGGTTCTGTAATCCTAAAACAAAACACTAAAAATACTAAATACAAAAAGAAAATGGTACCTAAGAAGCAACAAAGTTTTGTTCCCAAAATATTTGTTCCCGTTAACGTAACTTTTATGTTTACAAAACCCGTTAAAATTATCATCACAATTTGTCTATCCAAATCTGACTCATTTACTAATTTGCTATTACTGTTTATAGATTTATTTGTATAATTATGTAATTTGACTTTTTTCGGTCTACTCTAATGCTGTTGGCCGCAGCTGGCTTTTACAGCTTCACCGGACGATAGGGGGAGAGTCGAGATGGCCCTCTAAACTCGCGGAAGGATATGTAGCGCAGCTGAAGGCCAACTCCTGATGGTACGATTATAATTGAACAGCGCTACAGATATCACGTTATCATGTGACGTCTGTGATTCCACTCATGTGTTATCATTCTGGAGAACATCATGTCTCTAATCCTGTAATTTCACTGAATTATTATAACCGAAAAACAACCCATAAAGCAAGCTGTTCAGCGACTGACATAGGTCGAATTTTGTCAATGATAAAGATAAATATGTTTAGATCAGAACTTGGCAAATTCAATGACTCATTCGCTTCGTTCAGGTCTTTCTTCGTCAAGGATGATGTACACAAAGAGTACTACAGGAGATGAGAGATTGTTTGGGAGGGATCCCTGCAGTCCCAGACCTTCTAGACAAAGCCAAGCTAACATATGTGAGATTGGGGTACTCACGAGTTTTTATAACTCTATATCAATGAAAATTATTTTCCAATGTGCTACAAAAATAAACTGTTTATTATAAACCAATTGAACATTAATTAACGGGATTTTTAATAACATTAAAGTATTGAGACAAGAGTAATTCAAAGCCTCAAAAACTTAAATTTACGAGTAATCAACTAGCATCGTACTAATAGAGTATTATTTAAATTATATTATATAGCTACATGCATTTTCGAGTCCAAACAATTAGTCGAAATATATGCTCTAACTGTTTAAGTATGGTTATTTTGTTGTATATATCGGATGCTTAATAATAAAGAGCATTAAGTGAATATTCTTAAATTTTGGAAATTGGATCATAAAGCAATACTTTAAATTACATTTTCATATGTGTAAATATTTTGAGTTACTACAGTTCATTATTAAGAGTGCGATTTTAACACATGCCTTGTCGTATCTGCCCTTGCTTATACCTCTTCATACTCCGATGAATATCCAAAACGTTAATATTTTCTTAAAATATTAATATTTTGCGAATGTACAAAAATTATTTTAAACAGATACAACCAGGACAATTAATTTTATTCTTATAACTAATTATTTACACCAATAAAATTATATGTAATATTAAAATATCCATCTCTTATAAAAATCTCCACCGTAAACAACTTGGCACGAACCCCAACCAACTGGCTTAAGTTTAAATACATTACAATATCACTAAAATAAACATTTCCATTATTACAAATAAAAAAAATAATAAAATGAGATCAATGGATGATATATTTTAGGTTTGCCCTCTTTGGAACAATTTGTGGAAAAACGGACATTTTATTACATTTTTCGTTAAATAAAATCTATTACTTAATCACACATATTTTATACAATCTCAAAGAAGCTGGTCCATTTTACAAAATATTATACTTTATACTATTATATAACTACGTAATAATATTTTTATATATGTACGCATATTATATAACTATGGATATATTTCAACACCGAAAGCGGAATGTTAAATTGACGTTTTAATTATTAATAATTATCTCAACAAGAATCGTAAATAGCAAATTGGACTGCATTTATGGAACAATACCACATTTGCATGAGAATGACAATAATCTTACAGTAATGTTGAAAAAGTGTTTATATCACTGGCATATTATAACAATATAAAAACATTCAATATAAAAACTGCCCCGAGTATCTCTTTTACATTAATTTATAAAATGTATAAAACTTTTTATTATATAAAAATTAAAAAGACATTTCGTTTTTGGTTATTTAAAAAAAATATTTCTATAATAATTATTTAAAATAAGAACATATTTTTATAGTTTTTAATATTGTCTGAATACAATCGTCTTTATTAGATATTCATATTATTTAAATTAAGAATAAATTCTAAATTCAAAATATTGTTCGATCAAAAGTTTTATACATTTTAAATGTGTATAAAATACATATTCATTCCGTTTGACGTATAATATAATCACACAACTTTATACAAAGTCGTGCGTTATTACGTCCCGTATAAAATTATTATATACGTATAAAAATGTACTTACAATAATTATTTATATGAAAAAGCGTGTCGTGTTGAATAACATGACAATTATTCGTTGCACGCTGTACATTGCTGCGTATATAATGCCGTAAGTACTGTTTGAAAGTGTTAGTTCATCGTTTTGTAGACAACAACTTCCAACCTACCATTAACAGCACCGCAGTACAGATGGAGCCGGACAATTTGTTGGGTAAAATTGATGAGAGCAGGGACCCTTCAGATGAAGTATCGTCGTCTTGAGATGCTGCGTCGATCTGTAATCAGAGAAAAATAATTGAACATTGCAACTTTAGTTCCTGTTCATATAGTCATTGTTTCCAAGTAACTCGAGATAAACAACTACATATGGATCATGAGTAACCTAAACCGGTGAGGCGACTGAAATCACAATGAAACACAATACGAGCTTCAAAGCCTTTGTGACCCGGGTCCCTATAAACATGCTGTCCACCTCATGAAGGAAGACTACTGGCCGAAGGGTCACGTCCGTTACCAACCCTTAAGAAGCCCTAAATGTACCATTCTAGAAAAACCCCATAATCAACAAAATAGATAACATTGGCTGGCAGTTTGTTGTAGTAATAAGAAAGAAGACTAGGTAAACGGAGAAAATATATTAATAATAAATATATAAATATTGACAACAGAAAGAATGAATTGAAGTATCAAAAAACAAGAATGTAATATAAAAGAATTATAAATTCAAATACAAATTTAGAATATAAATCTGATTAGCCAGTTACAACACAGTTTAATCCACAACCAATGTCTATGCTAGAGGAAGCTCCTCTGAAACCTTAGACTCTGTGGTCTCTCTGTAAGGTGCATTATTAATATGTATTACAAATTTAATATTACAATTACTAAATAGCACAAAACACATGCGGTAGATTTATTATTTTTTCTCCGAATATACATCTCTTAAAGGCAAGTGCGCCACTGTAATCCGCTCATAAATCGGGTGATCGTAAACTGTACTATTCTCCAACAAAATTAAATTGCCGAATATAAACGTGTATTAAGTATTCACATGTTATTGCTTGCGTGATATAAACCGTCTAAATTGTATTGACTGGGCATCGAAGTGCGCCTATAACACGAACTTGCAGCCCCAATAATAAAAATACCATTTAAATTATCCTTACAATAAAACAGTGGAGTGTATCACTCACTTGAATTGCTGGCTGCAATCCCTTTACAGTTTGCGACTGCAAGATTGCCTGTCTGAATATTTTTGAGGTTTATTCTTTCACTGACTCCAATGGAAGAATAAACCTCAAGAATATTGCTTAATGAATGAATTAATTTTGTTTAATTCCGCTATATATTAGAGAATACATATAGAAAAATAAACGTGAAAGGGATTGTTCAAAATATGGACTAATGACCACATTGCTAATGGTATACCATGTCAGGTTGACGGTGAAGTTGTAAATTTCTGATCATTCTCTCTGATCGACTCCCCCTTCTTTTCAAATGGGGATCAAAATACGACGGCCTGAGACGAAGTTCGAACCCCTAGCGGTGTCGTCTAAAGTCATATCGAGGTTCGAATCCCTAGACTACGGTGCCCTCAGACTAAAGTCATATACGTCAGGCGGGAGTAAGCCTTCAGCCGCTCCTTAAGTCCTACTGCTGATTTGGAGTGCTATCTGCACTAGCCCCCTAACGTCCGTTGAAGCTGTAAAGTCCAGCTGCGCCCAACAGCATTAGAGTAGTCCGAAAAAAAATGGAGTGCTATCTACACTCGCCTCCTATCATTCTGTGAAGCTGTAAAGCATTAGAATAGTAAAAATAACTTTTTACCTCATTAAGGGTTCTACGACAGAAATCGTGTCGCAATCGTATCGTATCAACTAAATACCTTTATACTCGCGTCTCGTACTGAACTTTACGAGTGCATTGTTTTATTAATATCTATAAAAAGTGATTCCAAGTACGGGAGTGTTTGCTAGAAATGTTCTCTCATAGCGTTCACTGTTTACAGTCTTTATGCATTCGCTAAGTTTATTGTTCTCGTGATTTGGTTGAATGCTTACATTTTAAATTTGTATGTTGACAATTAGCCAGTTTTAGGAAATTATTAACCACTAGCTGTTCCCTCGACTTCGACCGCGTGGAATATAACTTTATTTTTCTAAAATAAAAGTAGCCTAAGTTACTCCTTATTACATCAACTACCTGCCCTAAATCCCGTCAAAATCGGTCCAGCTATTTCAGAGATTAGCCGGAACAAACAGACAGACAAAATTTGCAAAACAAAATTTATTTTGGCATATGTACTGTATGTATGTTCATGTGCATATAATAAAAAACGGTTATTTCAATATTACAAACAGACACTCTAATTTTATTTATATGTATAGACTAGGTTACCCGTGCAACTTCGTTTGCCTTGATATTTATCATTACATTACATTGTGTATCTACAATGGTGGCAATCAAGCATAAGTAAATGGTTACCGTAGCCTATGAGCGCCTGAAACACCAGGGGTGTCACGTGCGCGTTGCCGACCCTTAAGAAACCTTAATATACCCTTCTTGAAAAACCCCATGCTGTAGTCTCGTGGGAAAACCTCGGCAGGAAGTTCATTCCACAATCTAAGTGTACGCGGGAGGAAACTCCTCTGAAACCGCACTGTTCGGGACCACTTAGGTTCCAGTGTGTGGGGATGAATTCCCTGTCGATGGCGAGCGGTGTGGTGGTAAAAGGTGGCTGTCGGCATCTTGTCGAACAATTCCTCAGAACACAGTCCATTGTATAATCGGTAGAACACACAAAGCGAGGCGAAGTCTCGCCTCAAGCTGAGTGATTCGATACCGCCAGAGAGATTGGGATCATCGACAATTCTCATAGCACGTCTCTGAACCGAGTCAAAAGGACCGAGCTGGTATCCAGGTGCTCCCGCCCAAAGATGAGAGCAGTACTCCATGTGCGGCCGAAACTTAAATAAGAGAAGTCTCCGGTCCGCAGTGAAGTACCGCCTCGCTCTATTGAGCACACCGAGCTTCTTGGACGCCAGATTTACCTTTTCTTCCAGGTGACTGCGGAACTCAACAGTACTAGAGATGTCGACACCGAGAATCCCAATACTCTTAGAGATGGTAACGGACGTGTTCTGGAATTGAGGAGCCACAGCAAAAGGGGTTTTCTTAGCGGTGAACGCGCAAGCTTGTGTCTTAGTAGGATTGAATTGAACTAAATTCAATTATATCTAATATCTAAGTATTTATTTTAGTTATCTATTACCCATAACACAAGCTCTGATTATAGTGAGAATCAATGGCGCCGTGTTAATCTGTACAGGGTTATATTTATTGTTCTAACAAATTTTCGCATTTCTAAAATTTCGTAAAATTTTAACAAATTACCTTACCATTGTAAATTAATATATTAAGAGAACCATAATAGTAACATGTGTGCAGTATTTAATTCAACAAGATTAGAGACCGCAGGTACAAAATCCCCCTTAGCAAATTAAAATCCGCCCATTGTACAGGGATCGTACAGAATCTGTATAATTTTATTATACCCTAATTTTGGCTACAAATTGAATTCCCGGTCGCTAAATCGCTTTCATTATTAACAACGCGGAGAGAGACGGTGATATATAACTTCTAATAGGGTAGATAAAGACGTAAATATACATCCACCTGACAATCTTGGAATGGTATCAATTGCATTTACATTTTAAAGAGTAAATAAAAAAATAAATTTGTTTGCCACGAAATTGGGTGTACTTACTTTTAATGTAAGCGATATTTATCTTTAAATAGAGACTGTTAAGATATAATTTTAAGTGTCTTTTATGGTAAAGAAGTTACGTTTTACAATTTATACTTTTTAATGTTAGTTTGTTTTATCACAGTCTGTATATAACGAGAAAATTTATAAACTTCCAGCTGTGCCCGAACTTGCGTGAAATTTTTTTTTCTAATGTATAATAAGCATTATTAATGTAAAGTTTCATCAAAATCCGCTCAGTAGTTTTGCGTGAAAGATTAACAAATCCATCCACCCATTTACTCTTCCATACTCATAAACTTTCGCGTTTATAATATTAGTAAGTTAAGACTAGCTGACAGATGTCCTAACTTGACTATGAAGTTTTCTAAAGTTTCGCGCAATTTTTTTATTTTTCTCTTTCTTCAAGAAGAACTTTATCATGACAATAATTAACATAACAAAAAAGGAATGAGCGAAATAGTCCTGCCGTTCAAAAAAAAAATGCGACTTCAGAAGTGCTTGTATTAAGTTCATTTGAATAAAGATTATGTCTATTGCTATTACCCAATTCGAGTTTTAGAAGCTCGTTTTTATTCTTAACCGTAATTATCCATGTGTGATAGAAAGGTCCCTATTCTGGATTGGTGCTAATGCTATAGTTATTTCGACTACCATGATGCATAGGTACTGTTACTGCGAGCGGGACTACTGTTTTAATTACTACTATTTTAATAAAAACCAAATACTAGTAAAAATGTGTATTCTCCCCAAAAGGGCTCACAGCAAGAAGTAACAAAACAATATTAGTCAAAAGTGACATATAAAAAACATAAAGTTTATAAAAAGAATGGTAGACAAGCAGGTACGAAGTCGCGAGTTTATTACTAGTCATTACATAGTATAAAACAAAATCTCTGTTGCTGTCCGTACTTCTTTATGCTTAAATATTTAAAACTACGCAACTGATTTTGAACCGGTTTTTTTAATAGATAGAGTGATTTGAGAGGAAGTATTACATATTATACAATACATGTACACCCGAACGAAGCCGGGGTGAGTAGCTAGTATTAGCTATAAAACATTTTTAGAAAACTATAGATTTGTTTATAATACAAATATTACGGTTAGTAAAAAGGGTTCCATAGGGAGGCTTGTGTCAATATTAAAGATCTACACAGACAGTTTCTTTGATCTTGTACTAAAAGGTATGGAAATATTGGTTTTCAATCAAACATATCAATACATGTTTATTTATTTAGTTGATATCGTCCTGATTGAATTGTTTACTACTCCGGTTTGCGTACACTAAAGACAGTGAGTTCGAATCTGATATGTGATACAAAAAATCTTTTAAGTATTAATTTATCTATGTATATCGCACGGCATAAACATTTGCATTCATGAGTATGATTGTTTGTATCGATCTGGGTGTTTTCTATTTATAATATATATGTACTTAGCAAAAAAACATATATCTATGTATTTTTATCAGTTATCCACTACACCCACGGGGAAAAATGTTGGGTC